CTTTTACACTGTTGGTGGGAGTGTAAATTGGTTCAACCATTGTGGAAGACAGTGTGGCGATTCCTCAAGGATCTAGAACTAGAATTACCATTTGACCCAGCAATCCCATTACTGGATATATACCCAAAGGATTATAAATCATTCTACGATAAAGACACATGCACACGTATGTTTACTACAGCACTGTTCACAACAGCAAAGACTTGGAACCAGCCCAAATGCCCGTCAATGACAGAATGAAGAAAATGTGGCACATATATACCATGGAATACTATGTAGCCATAAAAAAGGATGAGTTCATGTCCTGTGCAGAGACATGAAGCTGGAAACCATCATTCTCAGCAAATTAACACAAGAACAGAAAACCTAACACTGCATGTTCTCACTCATAAGTGGGGGTTGAACAAGAAGAACATATGGACACAGGGAGGGGAACATCACACACCAGGGCCTGTCCGGGGGTGGAGGGCTAGGGGAGGCATAGCATTAGGAGAAATACCTAATGTAGATGACGGGTTGGTGGGTGCAGGAAACCACCATGGCACATGTATACCTATGAAACAAACCTGTATGTTCTGCACATGTACCCCAGAACTTAAAGTATAATAAAAAAAAATTATGGTTAAGTAATCCACCTTCTATAGTCTACAACCTATAATAACTCCTATACCAACAAGCTAAGGAGGGGAAGACAAATTTAGATGTGACAGCTTAAGGACACAAACCATTTAATCCTCTCTAGAGGTTTTCAAACCTAGAATCTTACCAATTGCTCTTACTTAACATAAGTATATGTCTGACTGACAATATACAGATTACAGTAAGTCTTCATGTAACGTCATCAGTAGGTTCTTGGAAACTGACTTTAAGCAAAAGGAAGTACAGTAGCAGGTCCTTCAATAAAGTTGTTTTCATTTCATTGTAACAGTGATGAGGGGAAAAAATAAGTTCAGCTTGCAGATCAGCTTGGTACTGCTCATTAATCTCACTGTTGCACTTAAAGTCCTTGGAATGTTAAGTGAGCTCTGATTAGGTCTCAGATCATTCTCCTTGAAATCCGTATCCACAAGCTCACCTACACAGACACAATCCCAAAAGATGCAGGACAGACTTTGCTTCATTAAATATGTACCTTGTAAGCAATGATTTTCTGGATGGTAACTACGATAAAATGACTGATTTTATTTTACTAAATAATTACCTACTCCTCTTCCTAAACCAAGAGGGGGCTCCTCCTCAAGCAAGAATACTATGTTCAAAGTATTTTAAGTATGAATTTATGGTCACAACAGAGAACATCAAACAAAGAAAAAACCACCAGCCAAATGCAAATAAACTGGCAAATAAAAGTTTTACTATACAATTATCACTTGCTCTGCGGGAAAATGCTCAACAGTACAGGCTTTTTTTTTTCATTCAAAGAGATCAACATCAAAGTAAATTGGCAGGGTATAGCTCCATGGCAGAGCATCTGACGGCAAAGTAAATTTGAACTTGAATTACTGTACGTCTTGCCACCATTCTTCTCTTCTCAGCTGTTAAATACATTACTAACACTAGAAAATCCATAATCTTATTTTTCTACCCTGCCAATACCTACTACCAGACAGTAAGCTAAGATTCTCATATAATTTCCTCCAAAAAAAGATGACTCCATCCAACCGTATCAAACTGCAGTTGTGATCCCTAGTCCTGAAAATCATCAATACTTGTGATGTTTTCATAGGTTACCAGTCTGCTTTCAAGCAAAGCCCATCATGTTAAGCAAATCTAGAGGAGGGGCTGATACTTAATGTGCTAGAAAGCAACCACCAAAAATACCAAAGGCCTCTAAGCAGGGTGAACAGGTGATTCCAGTATTCAAGGAAAAGGCGAATTATACTTGGCATGGGTTGCGTTCCTTTTCAGCTGCTCCTAGTCACCCTATATACCACTTCGTAAACAAAGACAGTCATTAACTTCCGGATAACAACGTGCTTAAGATGATTATCTGAATAGGCTAATTCAAGTTTCTACTGTTCTCAAGTCTTTAAGTCACATAACTGAAAATTCCCAAGTCACCTGGATCCATTTTTATCTTTAGAAAAAACATTTCCCAGTGGAAGAATCTACGAGCATCTATGATGGATGGTTTTAATTTTACACCCTAGCAGTTTTAATGCTGATGAGGTTAATGAGCAGTACCAAGCTGATCTGCAAGCTGAAAAGACAAAAGACAGTGAAGGGGTAGGGACAGAATCTCCCCTTGTTCTTAGGAAGCAGCCTTTTGTATCAGAGTAGGAATTCCCAGGTTACAAGAATAGATTCTAAACAAAGCAACTAAGAATCATATAAAACAAACCAATGGATTGACTGTAATCTGGCAGGGTCTCTGACTAATCACGTTGTTATTACTAGGTTAAAAAGCAAAGGACTTGCACCTGACAAAAAGGGTGAATGAAAAGCCAACTGGATCCAACACAAAACAAACTTGTCAAAACCTTCTCTTCACCACCAGTAAGGTGTCATTACCAAAACAGTAACATTGATGGTAAATAATTTGCTGTATCTGCAACTGGAACTCAGCAAATTCTAACCTGGGCCTAAGTATTATATTACCCATCTCTGAATATTACTTTCTATCTGGCACCATCCAGACAAGAAAGCAGAGCAAAAGACTCACAGTCTAGCTGGAATGGAATTTTTTTTTTTTTTTTTTTTTGAGGCAAGGTTTTGTTGCGCTACCCAGGCTGGAGGGCAGTGGTACAATCACAGCTCACTGCAGCCTTGACCTCCTAGGATCAAAGCAATCCTCCCACTTCAGCCTCCCAAGCAGCTGGGATTACAGGTGCATGCTACCACACCCAACTAACTTTTGTATTTTTTTGTAGAGATGGGGGGGGTCTCGTTATGTTGCACAGGCTGGTCTCAAACTCCTGGACTCAAGTGATCCTCCCACCTCAGTCTCCCCTAAAGTGTCAAGTTTATAGGCATGAGCCACCACACCAAGCCTAGAATGGAATTCTTAAAACTTAACTGTATACAGACTTTAACTCAAAGAAAAAAATGTGAAAACCTGAAATTGGCCATGAAAGCTTTACATAATTTAATGCATTGATTTTCTAGTTCCTCTAAGCCATAAGGGACTACAAGATGAGAAAAACATATACAGATTTTTAAATTCTATTTTTTTAAAAATTGTTTCAGGTCTGGCGCGGTGGCTCACACCTGTAATCCCAGCACTTTGGGAGGCCGAGGCGGGCGGATCACTTCAGGTCAGGAGTTCAAGACCAGCCTGGCCAACATGATGAAACCCCATCTCTACTAAAAATACAAAAATTAGCCAGGCATGGTGGCATGCGCCTGTAATCCCAGCAACTTGGGAGGCTGAGCAACAAGAATTACTTAAACCCAGAAGGCAGAGGTTGCAGTGAACAGAGATCACGCCACTGCATTCCAGCCTGGCTGACAGAGGGAGACTCCATCTCAAAAAAAAAAAAATTATTTCAGCAACCTGTAAATTTTTGAGTTTTGAAAAAATGCTATGACTAAAACCTCAGAAGAGATAAATGACTAGTTTTCTCTTTCACTTTCAGGCCTCAAACATCACTGTTCAATAGCTTTTTTTTTTTTTTAAACAAACCCAATGATCAGGTATGTACCCACACAGCCTGTCCGTGTAACTACCTTCATGTCGTAACCATACGTCTCTCGAATGTCTTCATCAGAGTCTGTTTCTTCGTCATCATAGTCCATTGTTTGTCGAGGAGAAGAGGACACACTGCTCACCACCCGATTAAAAGCAGACTGCTGGAAACTAGGTAAGTGTCCCTAAACAACAAAGAATTCCAAGATGAACAGCAAGACATGAGAGACCAGCAGGGGAATTAATGTGTGCCTAAGATCACCAAAATGTAATGAATAAGCAAAGTGGCTAACAGAGTTCTTCAACAGTTAGTAGAAATCAAATTATTTGATGATGATGCCAAAGGCCACCTGAATGACATTCCCAGGAATAGTTCACTAAGTACGCATCCAAAAAAAAGTATTATAGTATATGTTGAATGAGAATGCAATGGATAATTGCTGACAAGTTACTGTTATTTTCCTAAACAATTGGTAAGACAGACTCGATTTACTATTTATACACTGACATATCCCATGAAATAGAAAAAGAATGTAAATCCTAAACTTGCCTGTAAGTCTGGATTGGCAGCTGCTTTTTGGAGTTCCGCACTGATGATCTTTTCAGTTTTTTCTCGAGCTGCCTGTTCCACCATACGCTGGCTCAACACAGACAGTTTGGCCAGGGCAGAGGAGAGTTCATCTGTGGCTAGAGCCTGCCGTGCTCTATCTTGCCAACTCATAGCACGTTCTGTCAAACACTGCAGGGCCTCTCCTTCAGGCAACCGTACGGGCAACTTCTGAAGGGACACCAGGAGTGACAGAATAGTCTCTAGCCTGGGCCTTCGAGACCGCATACAAAGAGGGCAAAGGAATTTTACTTCTTTAGCTTGCCAGTTGGATCCTTTCTTTTGGGAACTTGATTTAGGAAGAGGAACACAGCTGTTATGGAACCAGTCCTTGCAGAGCTCACACTGTAGCATAAACCCACTGGCTGTCTTGCGGCAAATGCAAAATTTTACTTCTTCTATGCGGTCCACCATTGTCATCTTGGCTAGGTTGGCTGCTCTGAGAGAATGCATGGCTTCAATCTCTTTTTGCTCCCGTTCTTTGAAAACTGCTACCTGTACAAGAAACACATTTAATTGAAGAGTCACTGCAATATACCCCCAAACTACCAAATTCCCAAGACCGTGGGATCTTTCTCCAAGCTATCAGTTATAAACAGTTTCCTAAAATTTGGGGCCCCTGGCAGTTTCCATGCAAACATTCCTCATCTGTGAAACGGGCAAAATGCTATCACATTTGATCATGTACATCAGTGCAGTACTTTGGCCTCTTTTGTAGGGCACAGTACAAAGGTGGCATGCCTTGAAATCAAGCAACCTGGGTACAAAGCCTGGCTCTTGTACTTTTAGACTGTTAATATGGGGCACAAGTTTCCGAACCTCCATTTTCTGAAAAATGAGGATACTACCAACCGTTATTTTGCTGTTTCACAGATTAAATAAGGTAACATATGAAAGTGCCTAACCTGGTACCTTGCACAAGAAAAACACTCAATGAAGTATTAGTTTCCCATCCCCTCGTAATTCATTCCCTGGGGCAAGTCCTATACACATTAATTTATTTCTCTCTAGAAGGCCTCTTCATGTGTAAGTAGAGTAACAAAACTTGATCAATTGTAACAACAGAGTTTTATGAAACTCACTATAACAAAGTAAATAAAGGCAAACAAATTTAATTATCAATACTGTCCGTGCATTTTCTTCTTGAACTACTGGCAGCTTTGAAACAATTTTGAAATAATTTCCAGTCCTACTTGTCTAGCAAGATTGACTTGTTAGGCAGGCTCTCTAATCAGAAATCATTTTCATTGGCTTCAAAACAGAATCATTTGTAGGCAGAAAGAGCTGTATCATAGGCAATTCCTTACTTTTATTGCCCAGATTCGTATTTATTTTCTATTTCCTCAGGATCCTAGTAATCTTAACACATTCCGCCTATCCTCCAAAAAAGCATAATTCTCATCAACTACAAATATTTTAACACTCATTAAGAGATGGAAATCTGTAGCCTGGTATAATTCTTTTAAAAAACACATAGTAATAAGAGTCATAAAATGTTTATATTAAATTCTAACCCAGTAATTACATTCCTAAGAGTCAAGTCTAGGAAATTTAAAAGAAGGAAAAGGCTATACAAAGAAGTTCATTTTATTACTTACAATAAGAAACTTAGTAACAGGCAAAATGTTCAAAATTAGAAAACTACAGCAGGTCCTCAAATAACATCTTTATGTTCAGTGTAATTTCATTATAACATTGATGAGAAAAAATCAATTCCTGGCCAATGCCACTGTCACTCACTAATTTACCAAAAATTGGATAATTATCTAGTTTTTATTACTCTTTCTTAAATGTATGTTTAGCTCGAATTTTCTCAGTGTTTAATATCAGAAGTGTTTGGGGTCTTTATTTTAAAAGTCTGATGATGTTTTTGTGACCAGAAATATGCTGGTTAAAAAATAAGGAACTTAACTCTTGTTTGTATCAGCCTGTAGTAAAACTGGGTTCATTATACATTGCTTCACCTAGAGTTGCAGTGCAAGAAGCTATTGATAATGTTAAGTGAGGACTTACTGTACTCAGCAGACTATGGACAACTTGATGGAACAGTAGACGACCATTAAAACAACAGTAAAGAACAGAGGTATGGAACAGACAATTGTGGGAAAAGAGCAGAATACTAAACTTTTTGTATATCTTGATTATAAATATTTACTTTTAATGTGAAATATGTATAATCGTAAAGCCAAGTATATGAAAATAAAAAGTTAAAAACATAAAAACTGTGAGTCTGCTAACATCTTTACAGAATTGTGTATTCACCAAGCAAACTCAAGACGCTCGGTAACGTCTTACCACCACGGCTGTATCTCTGGTTTCCTCCAATCCCTCCTCCAGATCACTCAGAGGCTCGAGGTCCAGATCCTTTTCTTTTTCTTTTTCTATCAGTTCTTTTACTTTTTTCCTCCTATTTTTGCCACTCCCATATACACCAATGTCAGTCCGGGGGCTCAGCACCTACAAAAATAAAACCACCATTATAAACTCTGGTTTTTAAAAAATCTTAGAAGCGAAAATAATAAAGGAACCATTTATTGACCATTCAACCATGTCCGAGGCACTTTCTTAAGGACTTTATACACATGATCTAATTCATTCCTCACAACAACCCTATGTAGTAGGTATTAGTATCTACGTTTTATAAACAAGAGAAACTGAGGCTCAGAAAGGCAATAACTTGCCCAAGGACACAGGGTTAGCAATTAAGGAGTCCATTCTCAAACCTGAAAGGACCTTATTCCAAAGCCTTTGCTCTTAACTACTACGTTCAACTTCTCAAGATCAAAGGGACGATGAGTATACAAATTTGTGCTTCGGAGAAAAAAGATCATTCAACGATAGGCTGGACGTGGTGGTTCACACCTGTAATCCTAGCACTTTGGGAGACTGAGGAGCGCGGATCACTTGAGCTCAAAGGAGTTCGAGACTAGCCCAGGCAACATGACGAAACATCATCTCCACCAAAAATACAAAAAATTAGCCAGGCATGGTGGTGCATGCCTGTAGTCCCAGACACTTGGGAGAGTGAGGTGAAAGGATCACTTGAGCCCAGGAGGCAACAGCTGCAGTGGGCTGAGATCGCACCACTGCACTCCAGTCTGGGCAACAGGGCAAGACTCTGTCTCAAAAAAACAAAACAAAACAAAACTATTTCAATGACTAGAGTCCAATAACAAGCCAAGGCCGACTGCTTTTTCTAGGGACAGCACAAGATTAACTGGAAATGAATCTGCCCAAGGCTCCAGATTTCAAGTCACATCTGATACCACCCAGTAAGTCACCATCTGATACCACCCAGTAAGTCGCCATCTGATACCACCCAGTAAGTCACCATCTGATACCACCCAGTAAGTCGCCATCTGATACCACCCAGTAAGTCGCCATCTGATGTCACCCAGTAAGTCGCCATCTGATGTCACCCAGTAAGTCGCCATCTGATACCACCCAGTAAGTCGCCATCTGATGTCACCCAGTAAGTCGCCATCTGATACCACCCAGT